TTCCAAATTATCTTTTGATGTATCTAAATGTACCGATGTCACTTCTTCGCGCGCCAAAGGAGAACGGCTGCATTATTTTAAGAGGAATTGTTCTGCACTCTATGTTGACAACCAGCCTGTTTCCCCAGTAAATTCTCTACAATACCTCGGTGTCACTATCTGCCAAGATCTCACTTGGACCTCACATTTAAATTCCACTTTTGTAAAGATTCGACGGTTGTGTTTCTTTATTACCCGTTTGCGTTCTTTATAAGTTCCACTGCATTCACTCACTGAATGTGTATTTTCTTGTGTTGTTACTCATCTTTTCTACCGCTCCCCAGTTTTATTTGCCAATCTTAGAGCTAAAGATCACACAATGCTTAGCTGGTCTATTAAAATTCTNATTCTTTCTCGCACAAACGGTATTCCTTATTTGCATTTGCTTAACTTCATCGTCGATAAACATTTTACCTCCTGCGATAACTTCTGTAACAATATTCTATCAGATACCAAACAATGCATATCCACTTCTGTAACTAGATGTCGTTATAAACTGGTGTATGCTCGTATCACTGCCTATCGTTTGTCCATCATCCCGTCTTTCGAGATTTCTGGCTCAAAAGGTATCCGTTAGAGGAAAACCTTTTGAATTTCCTACGCAATGGACATTTATTTTCAAACTTAAAAGTTACTCCACATTCTTTTGAATTTACGATACTGTTTTTTTCTCACTTTTTTATGACTGTATGCGACGATAAATGTTTCTGAAGTGCAAGAAGCGGAGAATTCATCCATTAGGATGAATAGAGCAATGTTTGACTCGATTGACTTGACTTACTTATTTAGAAACAGCTTGGACGCAGAAAAGTGATAATGGTAAACCAAATAGAAGCATTTAAAAACAGGTCTGGGGATCAGAGGAGCAGAGAGAGAGAGTTGATTGATTAAATCTCAAGGACTATGTGTTCCGAACGTTAGGTGTAAAAAAGGTCGGGATATCGCTCTGAGGTATGTTTAGAATGTAACCAGATGTCGAGCGCAAACAGAAGAAAACATTACTGGTAAGTGCGGATGAATAAAGTGTATGCCAAACTCCATGCTTCTCAACCTTGAAGCCAGGAGTTGGGTTAACTCGGGAGGTGAAAAATAAGGCACCTGAGAACAGTAAGGGCGCACGAAAAATGGTTCCTGGGAAGTGTTCTTTTTTATACTAGGCGATAGATACATCTATAGTAAAGTTGAACATATAAATGAAAGTAAACTCGATAACGATCAAACGTTTAAACAGAGCCTGTGGGGGGGGGAACGCGCAAGCATGGTATCAACGGAACCTAAATGGAATTCAACAATCATCATATGCATCGCGTCAACTAAACGAACCTTCATCTTCGTCGGAATATGTTTGGCCAACTTTACCACGGCAAAATTTCCCCTACCCAAAGTGGGCCCGAGCTGATACGGACCGATGTGCGGGGCAGGATGGGATGATGCAGAACCGGAATCAAACCACTTGTCCGCGACCGAGGATGATGACATGGTAGAATTGGGCTCCGTGCTGACACTGGAATAGGTGAGTGCCGCGCTCTGATCTAAGCCGGAAGAGGCATTGGAATCACGCATTGCGGTCGCATCAGTGAGAAGTGCCGCGGGGTCATCTTTATTGGGAACCGTGGTCGATGCTCCTGAATTTGGTATGGAACCAAACAAAATAACTGGCACTGTTTCTGACTGGCTATCCTTCAAAAATGATCACACACAATACTCATTTCGGCCACACACAGACATATATATATATATATATATATATATATATATATATATACGAGTTTCGCTCTCACTAGCGCTCTACGGTGGTTGACATCGCGTTTGAATCCGGGATATGTGGCGCACAGTGCCAACAAACCCTTACCGAAACTGATCGGAAGCGTCGAGTCCAAGTTCATACACAAGCCATTTTCAATGATAGTTATTCAGTTGGAGAACCGATAAGAAATAATGGAGACCCCGTGGTTGGTAATTTCAAACAAAAGGTCACCGTTGAATTAAAACCTGCAAACAAGCATTTTTGTAAACATCCTCGATTGAAACCCACTGGATATGCGACCCTGAGGTGCTCCCATAAGAGCAAGAAGCCCCGGATGAAGCAACTCGGGCATTTGATCGACTCGATGAACTGAGAAAGTGAAGATGAATGTCGACGGATGATCCGTCAGAATTATTCACAACTTATTCCAACATACCAATCACAAGAAACGATGAGTTCAAATGGATCAATCAATTTGACCATGTACCATCACCACCATGTGACAGATGAGAAACGCATTAAAAAGTTCTGGTCCTCGAAATAAACTACTAAATTCATTTTTGAACTAAGAAATAAAATAAAATAAATAAATAAATAAAATAAAACACTACAGTATGTACCAAATCACAGAGATTAAAACTCTTTTCGATAATGTGAGACAGGAGAGGACAAGGGCGTTTGAACACAGACAACTGCTGTTCAAAGACGTAGATTTGAATTACTATGGCTGCGAGACGTGCGTCACGCTATTTAGTTTACGCCTTGACTTGTCTGAGCGTGAATTGTCTGGCCAAACATCTCAGGGTGTTTACACCGCGCAGCGCGTAGAGGAGAGGCAAAACAGGATAGGGTGTGTATGGACTGTACAACGATAGTAGACACGATACGAGAAATACAGGTCGGATGAACAATGTAAATGATAGATAACAAGCCGCAGAACCTACAGTGCTAAGCATCTTAAGGAATATCGGGTAGCAAGTTAATAGGTGTGTATAACGCATGCCAACACACGCTTAGGAGAACGTCACAGATGTTATTTGGTTAATTTAAAGGAACTCGGTCATTTATACGAAGTTCCCCGAAAATAATTTAGTGGCTCCATTACACATGAGAACAAATGGTCTTCGGTATGGCTTTCACAGACTATTAAAATAATTCGACATAGTGACAAACGATTATGTTGTGAATCTTCTCATACTATTCGTGAGCTTCCCTACAGCGCGAGGGCACCTGTATTGAGAAAAAACAAACGATTAATTTTTTATTTCATACTTCTATGTGACGAACAGTGGTCGGGGTAAACCCCGATGGTACGACAATCTACTGACCCTGGGAGTTAGAGTACCGAACTCCACCAGGTTCTAGTAGGATAGGCGAAAGCAAGACAAATTAACACGCATTGGAATCAGTTCAACCACTCCTCGAGTTCATATAACCATGGGTTCAAGTTGTTGCCGGTCGATCGTGCAGTTCAGGATTTCTGTTGCAAACACAAAGGTTCACCGCTCGAGTCCTTTAGGGTAAAAAAACAGTATGCACTGTTGAATAATTCCGACAATGATGGAACAAAGAACAACTCTCCCATACCGTTTGTCGGTCACTACACAATTTTGCTATATGATCTTCATATCTGCCGGCTAATTGGTAAGAACTGAATTCTTCCCTTGGACCAACTGAACAGAAGTAGGGGGAATTCCGAAGTAAATACCAAAGCTGCAGATAGATCAGACCTATAGGTGTGAGATTGATTTCTAAGCATAGAAAAAGGATAGATAAGATCACGTGAACCATTCGAGCAATATACTACGCCCTGGAAGAAAACAGTGGACACTGAGCCAGCCGTAAAATTCGTCACCAATTGATGAAGCGGGTGAGAAAAAGTAGGCCCAACCGCGACAGGGACTTAGAATGCACATTGATTGTTGTTAGACAAAATCACTTTGCGACCCATGGCTGTGAAGGAGCGGAATGGGCTAGTATATAAGAAATGTGAATCTTTACCGATTAGTTCAAATATACTTGAAGGAGATGATAAATCGGGAAAGATAGTGATCAGTAATCTAATTTATTCGTAGTCTTTTTCGGACATGACCGTCGATTCATACGCTTATTTCGCTCATAAACGTTTCAGTCACATTAGAGTTTGACTGTTCCAGCAGTTAATTTGTTTATGTTGAATGCTGAGTGCACTGCGCTGAAAACCACTTAATATCTGGTTTTCCAAACCGACGAATACGACGGTGGCGGTAGTTGGGCAGTTAAGATCACTAACTTATCGCCCCGAAGGACGTGTGTTAGAATCCCACCATTACCGCCAAACTTTTCCCTTTTGTGTCTCCAGACAGCAAACTAGTGATTGCAGCCGAAATTCTTCTTGAAAGACGTACATTTGCGTATTCAATAAAAGGAAGTAAAACCAGTAGTATTATTGGCAGCAGTAGTGGTATCAAAAGAATCATCTTTCTCGGTGTCTCATAGGTAGCTAACACAAAGTGAATCCAGTTTGTTTTAAACTTCGCGACCAGTCTTCAGTTTCAGCGCCACAAAAGAACATTACACGCTATTCGCCAGTCGGTTGGAAAAGAAAGAAGTATAAACTGAGTACTCGGCATTTGCAAATCGTCAGTCATTACATCACTGCACCTGTTACAGGAATACTAGCACCCTTGAATATCTACTTCCGAGCCCGGTTTTGTACACCAAATCGACCAACAAATGTCACTTTAGTACATCTCGATATTGTGAGCAAGGGTGGCACCTTTAGTTTGATTTCAAAGTAACCCAGCGAAGACGCAATGCAAGACGAAGACCATACAATACTCACAGATATCTTGTATGACTTAGGATTTTGGGAAGGAACTGTACAGATAGGACAGAAGGCTTGTGGCCTCATGCATCCAATGAGACAAGCAGAATATCCACCCTTCGGGGTGTATAAAGCGATTCCTTGACTTCGACTTGAACGTGGACGGGACAGCATCTTATTGGCTGGGGGCTACCAGATTGGGCACATGGCAGGTGTCCAATGAAGTACGAAGACATTTCCCACCGTAGGCAGGAATTCGCAGGTACCCTGTTTCTATGTTTGTCTAGTGAATGTTTTATTGTATCTGTTCTTCTCTGCGTAATTTTTCTGGAATGACCTCTTTAGGGGCGAAAGTGGATCGTCAAGGGAAGTCAGGAGGTGCCCAATCAGTTGGTCTTGTGAAACTAAGCTTGGTTTGACCTATACTCACAGATCTTATAGATACAATTGGATAAGTAGCTGTGAGAAGCCATCTTGTACAGCTCACAGATTTAGTGGATCTCGATCAAGTGGACAGGAGGTAGTTCAGCATAAGAGAAAGAACAATCTCCAGCAGTTACAGATGATTCGATGACGATCAGAATGAAGCGCCATTTCACAACAGACGGGAAAACGGTAAACAGAGATGCAAACTGATGACGTGAGGCGCATCGGACAAGATCAAAGAAAACGCCACACGAAACCGGAGAGCACAAGTATAATCAGACAAGAGATTTCAACCACACACCCTGTTCGATCTCTGCCATTAGGAGAGCCGAGGAATTGGCCAACGAAGCACCGTGAAGCGGGCACAACAGACCTGGAAAGAAAACAAAACAATGAATCACAAGATGCGAGAAACAGTTGCACCGGTGTACATTAAATTTTTGAAAATAAATGAAAGATAGGATTATTTCAATGTTCATAATACAGACACTAAACACAACTGACAAGCGAGAATAAGAATCGCTATTCGATGGAGATGTCAGGCGAACAACAAACACCAGTAGCCAGTGTCATCCGGATGTCGGATAAGGATAACAGAGAATGAAAGTTTATAGTCCTAAGTGTTTACATTATTTACGAGCATTGTGGAGAGAGACAAGAAGTCTGAGATATATGCAGTGTGAACCTGTCTACGGATGTACAGATGGATTGAATAGGGAAATTCAAATGAACTATGAAAAACCAAACAGTTTTAGAAAGCATCAGATTAATGTCATTTTTGTCCGGTCGGACCATCATCATCATCGTACAGCGAAATACAGAGAAGCGAACTTCACTGATTGATGCCAAACTCGCAATGCATATGCATTGGGGTTTGATGGACGGGTACTGCTAGGGTGTCCAGCCACTAAGCAGGACAACGATTAGGGTTCTTGTCCAAAGCCTTTAAATCCAACAAAAACCTAACCGCATGGCAGCGGGTGAAGCGAAGTGGTGGCCCATTTACTTGGATCAATTACTCCACCGCCGTTTCTTTACCGACTAAAACGCAAATTCCAGTCGAACCCCAAACTTGGAGGACCAGAAGACTGAATTTCGTCTGACCGCTACCCATTGACCTTCCAGGCATGATAAGATCTCCTGGCTTGAAAAAAGCCACCCTGTGTAGCTCGTTGGGTCACAGAGGTGCACAAGCCATCACACCACGTAAAGGTTCAGTCTCGTCGTGATACAACTGATGGGAAATGATTAAAGTTCGACCGTATGGTATTATAAATGCAGTTCATATTTGACTGCCACCTCGTCGAGAAACGTTTGAGAATTAAAGAAAAAAGATATTCTGTTTACGAAGAGGTATCATCCAGACAGGGCTAACGTATCACGCACCAGTGAGAAGTTTTAGAAGTACTGTCGGGATTCCAATGCGGACACAGGGTTACCATTCAAAGTACCTGGGATGATCAATGGCACATTCAGGAGATATTCAACGTTGCCAACAGAGCGAATAAAACAGCTACAATTTTTTTCAAGGCATTTAACTGATATGCGTTGGCTCCGAATGACTAAAAATTTTAAATCTGCGGAATCGTTGAGGAACAGTGATTCCAAATGAGAAACTTACAATACACTCACAACACAAAGGAACACACTTCGAATGACGGGGAGTACGGTCGAAAGTTGGGGTAAGCGCGACATTAAACATTTCAAGCAGAGAAAAAACATTTAAATTTATTATTCTGAATAATAAATGATGATCACTGATCGTGATGATCCTCCTATTCAATCAGAACAATTCTGAAATCCTCCACGGCGGACGAATCCTGTAACAAGTAAGACGCTACAACAACCATTTCAAGATGGACTTATTTTGATCAACCGGGAATGGAGTAAGTGTTAAAAACCACTATCCTTAGGGGCCTGCTCCGTTTAATCCATTTATGGCTAGTCTGGAGTCAGGGTTTCCGCCAAATTCCCAAAGTGAAATGACGGTGACTATAACCCGGGAAACTATCCCTGTCATGAAATGGCGGTGATTAAGGCTTTCTCAGTAGAGGTTATTTGTGCGGCTTGATCAAACAGGAATATTTCGTGAAGTGTAAGGAAGGGGAGATCATTTGCAACCGGAGACGCCAACCCCTGCCCATACGGAAGATATCTGGCAGTTTTGCTAAGAGCAAACACTCACAATCAAGATATACCAGTCTTAGGCTGTAAAAATAAGTGAAAGTGAAAAATGTAAAAAGATAGTCAATCAAGCAGATGGACTCAAATCCGGAAAGCTTGACCAACTCTCCACTGATCCGATGGAGTAAGAATGAATACAACAGCATTTATTGAAGCAACAATGGAGCGCAAACTGTCTGATGACAACAAGAAATAATGCTGAAGTCATCTGACACCCTGAATATTTCGGTTCCGACAATACGACAGAGGATATCACATCCTGTCTACCGTGAAATGGTCGATAATGGATTGGATTGTCCAATCTCGAAAGAAGATGTGAACAAAAAAGCTACCATTGCAAGTTAACTCCATCACCTGTTAAGATTGAGTATTTATTTTTCCATGGAGAAGGTCGAGGAGGATTGAGTGAGAACAAGAAGAATAGTGACATCATTTTCAAAAAGGCGGTTCACTGCAACAGATTCAGCCAAATCAATTTCGTCTAACCTTGATAAAATTTCAGGCCGTAAAAAACCCTTTGTGCTTAACGGGTGACATATGTCGTAAAACAAACTGGTAAAGAGATGTGAGGTTTCCTGAGATCGGAAAGTGCTGTGCAGTCATTGAGACATACTTAATTAGAAAACATGGCAGATTCTCCTTTGAGCGGAGTTATTTTTTTGTAATTCCCAAGATTGAAGCCAAAAACCTTATGCCAAATCACAGTTATGATGCAAGTCTGAACCTTTTGCAAAGCAAACTTGAAGAATAAACCCACATACACACAAATCCAACATTTATAGCTGAAAGTATTATTGCGCATTTGGTGGGATGATGAATAGTGTAAGAAATGGATCTCATAATCACGAAGACGTACTGTTCAGTCATGGTAACTGGCGACCTAAGTCACGTGATTCGAAGTTAATAATAATGTAAAGGCGCAGTAAGACAGGTATGGTGGTGAGCAGGACAGCGAAACCTTCCGCCACGGATGTGGGTGGTAGGATTGGAACCCATTTCACACCAGTGACAGCAATTTAACCGCTCGACCGTTATAACCTAATAGAATGCTTTCATATCGAATAGAAAATCATTCTAAATGCTCCACGCATTGTCCAGTTGAACACCCAATGACATCAAACGGAAAAATGTTGTGAAAGATACCGGGCAAGAAGAAGACCGGTAGAGAAGTTTTGCCGTATTAAGATATTTGGATTGATATATCTGTAACCTGGATTTGAGACCGACAACAGAAAAGAGCGCTGCAAAGGGTGCACCAAAACGCGCTACGTGGAACAAAGAAAACTACACTTATCCACAAAAGAGGATTATATGCATCACAGTTTCTCAAAGACATTCGAACCAATGTGGATGCCCAAAATCAAAGGGCTCTAAATCATGACAACAGTTTGCCACGGTAC